AAGGGAGTTTGGGATGGAGAGAGAGTTTGGGATGAGGAAGAGGGAAGGATTTTGGGATGGAGAGAGAGTTTGGGAAGAGATGAAGGAAGTTTGGGATGGAGAGAAGAAGGAATAAGGGGGAGGAGAAAGGGGATTTGGGATGAGGAAGAGGAAAAGAGTTTGGGAAAAGGGAGTTTGGGATGAGGGAATAGGGAAGGCTTTGGGATGAGGAAGAGACTTTGGGATGAGGAAGAGGAAGAGACTTGGGGATGAGGAACAGGGAAGGAGTTTGGGATGGAGAGTTTGGGATGGAGAGAAGAAGGAATGAGGAAGAGGAGAAAAGGGGAATTTGGGATGAAGATGAGGAAGAGAGAGGGAATTTTGGGATGAGGAAGAGGAAGAAGAGGGAGGGGTTTTGAGGATGAGGAGGGAGTTTTGGGATGAGGAGGAAGAGGGCGGGAATTTGGGATGGAGAGAAGGAGGAACGAGGGGTTTTGGGGATGAGGAGGAAGGGAGAAAGCTCGGGATGAGGAAGGAGTTCAGGGAGAAGGAAGAAGGGATTTGGGACGAGGAAGAGGAAGGGTGGAGTCGGGATTCGGGGAAGCTTTGCTGGGAGGAGGAGGAGGAGGAAGAGGAGGGAACACCCGGGGCGGCTCCAGCGCTGATCCCACGGAATTCCAGGCTGGAGCAGCCCCAAGGTGGCTCTGCTGGAGGCGCAGAAGCTGCTCCGGAGCGTCCTCGTCTTCCTCATGGGCAGCGACATCCTGGGGAGCGCCCGGAGCCTCCCGCCCGAGGAGCCCGGCCCCGACTCCGGTCAGGGAACGGGATGGGATCCGTGGGGTGGGGTGGGATCCGTGGGATGGGATCCATGGGGTGGGATCCATGGGATGGGGTGGGATGGGATTGGGAGCCTCTGGAATCCTCCCCATCCCATGTCCCTGGGAGCGGCTCCATCTCCCTGGGAATCCTTCCTGTCCCATGTCTGGAGCCATGTCCATGTCCCTGTCCAGTCTCTGTGTCCCATGTCCAGTGCTGGTGTCCGAGCTGTGGCCGGTGTGGCCGGTGTCAGTGTCCGGTGTGTCCGGTGTGTCCGGTGCTGGTGTCCGAGCTGTGTCTGGTGTCAGTGTCCAGTGTGTCCGGTGCGGGTGTCTGAGCTGTGTCCGGTGTGTCCGGTGTATCCGGTGTGTCCGGTGTATCTGGTACCGGTGTATCCGGTGTGTCCGGTGTATCTGGTACCGGTGTATCCGGTGTAGGTGTTACCGGTGTGTCCGGTGTGTCCGGTACCGGTGTATCCGGTGTGTCCGGTGTATCTGGTACCGGTGTATCCAGTGTTGGTGTCCGAGCTGTGTCCGGTGTATCCGGTACCGGTGTCCCCGGTGTCCCCGGTGTCCGAGCGTTGTTGCCGTTGCAGGCTCTGCGCTGTTGCACAAGTGGCAGGCGCTGGGGGAGGCCCTGAGCTGCTGCCGGCGCCTGGTGACGCTGCTGGGCCACGGCGAGCTGGGCTGCAGGGCCAGAGCCTTCTGCGGGGAGGGGCTGGGGCTGGCCGGACACCTGCAGGCCTCCCGATGGTCAGTGCTGGGATTGGGGTCACTGGGATCACTGGGAATGGGATTGGGGTCACTGGGAATGGGATCATTGGGATCACTGGGATCACTGGGAGTGGGATCATTGGGATCACTGGGATCACTGGGAATGGGATCATTTGGATCACTGGGAATGGGAATGGGATCACTGGGATCACTGGGAATGGGATTGGGGTCACTGGGAATGGGAATGGGATCACTGGGATCACTGGGAATGGGAATGGGGTCACTGGGAATGGGAATGGGATCATTGGGATCACTGGGAATGGGATTGGGGTCACTGGGAATGGGATCATTGGGATCACTGGGATCACTGGGAATGGGATCATTGGGATCACTGGGAATGGGAATGGGGTCCCTGGGATCAGGATTGGGATGGGGATCCTTTGGGAATGGTGGGTCAGGAGCTCAGTGACCGTTCCCACCTCCCTCCCGGCTCCGATGGGGTCTGAGGGGCCTTTTTCCCCTTTTTCCCCTTTTTCCCCTCATTTTCCCCGTTTTTCCCCCGTTTTTCCCCCGTTTTCTCCCTGTTCTTCCCGGTTTTTCTCCGTTCTTCCCGTTTTTTCCCGGTTTTCCCGCAGGTGCGTGTCGTTCCTGGTGCTGCAGTCCCAGCTGGAGCTGCAGCAGGGGGAGCTGGAGCTGAGCCAGTCCCACCTCCAGCACGCCCAGTTCCTGCTCCAGCCCCAAACTGGTGAGCACTGGGATGGGGAAATCCCGGTCTGGGAATGGGGAAATCCCGGTCTGGGAATGGGAAAATCCCAGTTTGGGAATGGAGGAAATCCCGGTTTGGGAATGGAGGAAATCCCGGTTTGGGAATGGAGGAAATCCCAGTTCAGGAATGGGGTAATCCCAGTTTGGGAATGGAGGAAATCCCAGTTTGGGAATGGGGGAAATCCCAGTTTGGGAATGGGGGAAATCCCAGTTTGGGAATGGAGGAAATCCCGGTTTGGGAATGGAGGAAATCCCAGTTTGGGAATGGAGGAAATCCCAGTTTGGGAATGGAGGAAATCCCAATCTGGGAATGGAGGAAATCCCAGTTTGGGAATGGAGGAAATCCCAGTTTGGGAATGAGGAAATCCCAGGGATCCCAGTTTGGGAATGGGGTAATCCCAGTTTGGGAATGGAGGAAATCCCAGTTTGGGAATGGGGTAATCCCAGTTTGGGAATGAGCAAATTCCGGGGATCCGAGATTCCGAATGAGGAAATCCCGGGGATCCCAGTTTGGGAATGGGGTAATCCCAGTTTGGGAATGGAGGAAATCCCAGTTTGGGAATGGGGGAAGGATCAGGCTCAGACACGATCCAAGTTTTTGGACCCTTTCTTTGAGCTGGAAAATCCCAAATATCCTTTCCTCCATGCACAGAATTAAATCCCCCTGGGAACCCCAAACATCCCTCCCGTCCCCAGGGTTAAAAATCCAGCTGGGAATCCTCTCCAAATCCCAAATTCTCCCTGAATTCCAGAATCCAAACCCCTGTGGGATCCTCGGCGCCGAGCCAAGATCCAGCTCCGGAAGGGTCTCCCGGAGAGGAGAAAACCCCGGGATCCACTGGATCCCGATCCCAATCCCACCAAAGAAGAGGACGAGGAATTCCTCAAGGGTCCATCCTTGGATCTGGTGGCTCCGGCCGCTCTCCCGGAGCAGCCGGACGCTCTCACGGCCTCTCCGGAGCTGAGAGCCGGGAAAGGGAAAAGCCTGGAATTCCTGTCCCATCCCTCGGGATGCGGCTGCTCCTTCTGCTCCGACCCGGCGCTGCTGGAGCTGGGGCTGCGCTGGCTCCTGGCGCGGGCTCGGCACCGCATCCTGGCCGGGAACGCCGCCCCCGGAGCCGCCCTGGCGCGGAAAGTGCTGGAACGCTGCGGGAGCGCCGGGAAACGGCTGGAGTGGGAGCTGGGGAGGGCTGGGATCGCGGGGAACGGCGGGAATGACGATGGGAACGGCGGGAATAACGATGGGAACGGCGGGAATAACGCAGGGAACGGCGGGAATAACGCGGGGAACGGCGGGAATAACGATGGGAACGGCGGGAATAACGATGGGAACGGCGGGAATAATGCGGGGAACGGCGGGAATAACGCGGGGAATGGCGGGAATAACGCGGGGAACGGCGGGAGTAACGATGGGAACGGCGGGAATAACGATGGGAACGGCGGGAATAACGCGGGGAACGGCGGGAATGACGCGGGGAACGGCGGGAATAACGATGGGAACGGCGGGAATAACGCGGGGAACGGCGGGAATGACGATGGGAACGGCGGGAATAACGATGGGAACGGCGGGAATAACGCAGGGAACGGCGGGAATGACGCGGGGAACGGCGGGAATAAC